AGCACAATAGGACCCCTTTAAAATGGCTTAAAAACAATACATATACTTGACAAAAAAAATAATCTGAATATTTAATTTGAAAATATACAGCATAAATATACAGTGTATTTATTGAACATGAGTATATATCGTGTTTTGAATACAAATTTTTAACAAAAATTGTACTTTTTTGATGGAAAATAAGGCAGAAATGCTGTTTAAATCAGGACTTTGTTTGAATATTTGAGTGCAGTTTAGGTCAGCGTATCTTTGCAGAATGATGGTGTTTGGTATTTTTTCCCGTTAAACACACACATGCGTGTCGCCTGCTGCAGGTGTGTGTGTGTGTGTGTGTGTGTGTGTGATATGTCCAGATGTTGTTGCTGATGTGAATGTGGATCTTCTGGAGCATCTGTCTGCTCACCTGCAGCTCTACTCCTCCGTCACGCCTCGTGTTTTTCAAAAATTAAATATATATTTTTTGTGCATGAAAACAAAAAATGAAAATGCAATAAAATAATTTTCCTTAAAATAAGATTTTTTTTTTTTTCAATCAAAATATATAATTTCATATTTGTTATTTGGATACTGTTAAATATACTAGTCAACATTAGAAGTGGATCAAAACCTTTCATTAAAGTTACCTAAAACCTAAAACCAAAATGTGTTCTTGTCTTAGGACAACTTTGATTAACTTTTTTGATCCGCTTCAAATGTTGACTACTGTATATAACAGACATGGTCTTACACACTAATACACACACTCATACACACACTCACACACACACACACTCACACTCACACTCACTCACACGCACATACACACTAATACACACACAGACACACTCATACACACACTCACTCACGCACACACGCACACACGCGCACATACACACTAATACACACACACACACACACACACTAATACACACACACACACACACATTAATACACACACACACACACACACACACACACACTCATACACACACACACATACACATACACACACACACACTCATACACACACACACTGCTTCTCTCCTTCCCACACACACCCTTCACTCATTCACGGGTGAATCTCATGAAAACATGTTCCACCCCAAAATCACAAGAAATTATGTTTATACGTGAAGAACATGAAGCCTGTTTCAAGACCATTATGATTATTAAGAAAATGATTACATCTCCAATTCTCATTATTTTAACGCACAAAAATCCCCACAAAAAAACAGCATCAGCAAATTAATCCGCATTAATAAAAGCTTGTAAAACAGTAGAAATCTCACAACATGCACATTGCATTCGTAATGGTCTTCATTTTCTTTAACCAAAATATATTTTCTTTTTTTACATTTGATTCCGGGGTGAAAAATAATCCATGTTCTTCTTTAGGCTTAAAAAATTAGATACCAGATTTCATGTTAAGCACTTTTTTAAATTGTCCAGTTCGATGCTGGTTCTCATTACAGTCATACAACTACAGAACATTTTATTTAAACCAGCATGAATGAAAGGTTGTAAAACAGTAGATATTTCACACTGCAGAACGTCTTAATGGTCCTATAATAGTCAATAGTCTATAAGCAAATATAATTTCTTAGGTTTTTTTGAATTTTGATTTTTGAATTTTGATGGGGTGAAATATAATACAGGCATGTTCTTCTTTAGACTTTAAAAATTAAATATATATTTTTTGTGCATGAAAACAAAAAATGAATATGCAATAAAATAATTTTCCTTAAAATAAGATTATTTTTTTTTTCAATCAAAATATATAATTTCATATTTGTTATTTGGATACTGTTAAATATACTAGTCAACATTAGAAGTGGATCAAAACCTTTCATTAAAGTTACCTAAAACCTAAAACCAAAATGTGTTCTTGTCTTAGGACAACTTTGATTAACTTTTTTGATCCGCTTCAAATGTTGACTACTGTATATAACAGACATGGTCTATAAAAATGAGATAAATAATATTTTTTTGCATTGCACTAATGAGAATTAGGGGACAATTTGTTTAATTGTCATGAAAATACAATTTTAAGCAAATTGTATTTATTGTATTGTATTAATTAATTTATTGTAAATAAAACAACAACAGATATGTTCTTTAAAAATGAGTTCAATCATATCTTAGGGAGGGTTTATTTTCATGAAGACAACTGAACCATTAAAAAGGTCCTTCAAATATATAAAATCATATACATATGTATGTATGTGTGTGTGTGCGTATGTATATATACTTTCTAAAATATATACGTTCTAATCTTTTTATTTTAATATTGGGGTTAAAATATAACTGATACATACTTTAAAATATTAAAGTTTTTAAAATATTATCATCATAATGAGAATTAGGCAGAGTTGTTTAATTGTCATGAAAATACATAAAGTCCTAAAATGGGCATCATTTACTTAATGCACATTATATTGCTTTTTCTTTTGGTTTTGGTGTAAAGCATGACCTGTTCTCGCCGGTGTTTGTGTGAATGAGGCAGATGTGGATGTGAACTGAAGGAATGATGATTCCCGTCTGGAGCGCTGTGACCCGCCTCATTTACATACTAATCCCCGCCCCCTGCTGTTGCCACAGCAACAGGCTCGGCGATCGTCGCGGCTTTGGGGATTTTGGGGAGTTTATTTGTCACATCTTCATAACGTTAATCATCTCTGTCATATTCATAAATGCCAGGCTGTCACAGGCTTATATGATGTCATTTATTTCAATTTACTGACACAGATGCAGAATCAGATCAGATTTGGTGGAAATTAATCACATTAAATCGTAGATTAAGCGATAATCCCCTCCGAGCTCTTAAATACTGTAAGTGATTGGCATTGGCTTCTGAAATACCCTGGTAAAGATGATAATACCATGGCATTGTGTAATATCACAAGATATATCAACCCACAGACTCTCCTGATGGTTCATTTAATTTCATATTATGATTTGTTATTGTCATTTTTATTTTTTAGATATATCTATATAGGTTTTTTATTTCAGTTTTAGTTTGTTATTTTAGTATATCAAGCTAAACTAAAGAAAAAAGAGAAATGTGGACTTTTCTATTCTTATCGATGGAGTTATAGTACATCCTTCCCCTACTGTACGTAATCTTGGTGTACTATTTGATTCTGCACTATGCTTTGAGTTTGAAACCCATATCAACCAGCTTGTCAAGTCCTGTTTTTACCAACTTTGCAATATTGTCAGTTTACGACAATCACTAAATTTCAAAGATGCTGAACTGTTATTCATGCTTTTATAACTTTGTGCCTGGACTACTGTAACTCCTTGTTATATGGCCTACCTAACAAAGAGTGTGTGTGAGAGTGTGTGTGAGAGTGTGTGTGAGAGTGTGTGTGAGAGTGTGTATTTTTGAATGTATAGTTTTTATACATTTTTATTTCAGTTTATTTCATGTTTCATGCAACTGAAATCAAATTAATCGCATTAAATCATAGATTAAGTGATAATCCCCTCAGAGGGACCCGGGGAGCCGGCTGCTCTGTTACCCAGAGATCAGTGCAGCGTCCCTGGGGAAGAGCGCTGAGCGAGCCCCTGGATTAGGCCTCAAAATCACCCGCGGACCCTCACTTCCATAATTACGCTTTATTAATTGAGATATTGGATATTGTTTAGTGTGTTTGAGAGCATGTGTACGTGTTTACTGACGGCAGCTGTTTGGGATTTTTGTATTTTAAGAAGTGGGAAATATTGGATTGTAAAAGAGCCACTAACGAGTATCAGAGTTTATATAATGTGAATTAATCGCCTCTCGTCGTCCATGATCTCTTTAAGCTCACAGTAACATGTCATAACGCAATTGCATTTGTGCGGTTCAGTGGAACATCAGCTCGATTTCCACATGAGTGGATCTGAATCTGTCCAGAATTACACATACATCGGCCTACTGAAGAAACACGCTTTATAAGTGCTGTG